AAGCATCTGAGGTTGAACCGGATGTTGAAACAACTGAAAAATCTGTTTCAGATAAAAAGAAAGAAAAGAAAAAGAAAGCATCCGAAAAGCAAGCATCTGAGGTTGAACCGGATGTTGAAACAACTGAAAAATCTGTTTCAGATAAAAAGAAAGAAAAGAAAAAGAAATCATCCGAAAAGCAAGCATCTGAGGTTGAAACTTCAAGCAAAGATCAGGCTGCAGCAAAACCTGAAATACATGAAGAATCTGTTTCGGAGAAAAAGAAAGAAAAGAAAAAGAAAGAATCCAAAAAGCAAGAACCAAGTTCCACGGAACATTCAAAAGAAAAATCCTCCAAAAAGCGTAAAACTTCCGAGACAGGAGAAACCACAGAAGAACAAAGTACGGAAAGTAGTTCCACGGAACATTCAAAAGAAAAATCCTCCAAAAAGCGTAAAACTTCCGAAACAGGAGAAACTACAGAACAACAAAATATTGAACCTGTTAAAGCAGAATCAAGTAAGGTGGAGCAAAAATCTAAGGTAAAATTAAAAGAATTCCTTCTTTATATATTGTTGGGCATCTCCAAAAAATTTATAATTGACAGTTTATTTAATCTTATTTATACTGTTTTTCTAGGAAAAGAAAAAAAAGGAAAAAAAGAAATAGTGTTCCTAGCCGATAATGAAGAAATCGATTAAACCTAATTTCGATCGATTTTTTATAATGATAACAATTCACCTTTTTGATTATCAAAAAAAAGTTTTTTTTTTGTATATATAGTATAAGTAATAAGTAATAAATTGTTATAATAAACTATCGGTGAAGTTTAAATTTTATTCCCCGATGTTGCTTCTGACAAGTTTAATACAGTAATGCTTTTTCCTTTTTCAATATAATATTTATTGGATGTTCTTTAAAAAAAATCTAGAACTAAACTATGTCAATTTAATTTCTAAATTTACCAAGTTTTATTAATGGGGTATCTCATATAGTGATTCTTTCGGATTTTTCACATCTTTTTATACAATCACGGATGCCGCACAAAAAAAATTGACATTTTGTAAGTAGTGAGCACAGTTGCTAATAGTTTCGTGGTTTTTTTTTTTATTTTCCGCACAGAAAAAGTCTATAATTATGCGGCATCCGCACAGTAAATTTTAAAAATTAACACTGATCTAACACTTTTAATAAATCACCATTTAATATATACTTCGGATAGATGCGAAACTTTAAAAATTTATATTAAATAAGTTCGAATATGCTTATTAAGTAATTTAGTAAATAAATAACGTAACTATTTTTAGAACTAGGTAAAGTCTTGTAGGTCGTAGAGGACACACAGCAGAACCCTCCTTCACCAATCTTTTTAATATTAATTATTTTAAAAGGAATCCATTCAATCATATCCTCATATGTAATAACAGTTCTAAGTTGAAGTTTAATATAATCGTCAACCTTCTTATTTTCGTTAGTTCATCCTCGAATTGTCATGTCTGACACCATGATTTGTTTGTATTAATTTATTACAATATGCACATTCTCCATACAAATGTGTTCGTTTTTTTAATAAATCAGTTATTTTCTCTTCATTGACCAAATTTCTATAATTTTCTTCTTCCAATTCCATATGGCAGTTTTAAAGATTTCATTTGGATTACTGCACCGGCAGATCTCGGATAATGCTTGAACGCTTTTTTTATTGTCTTTTTTGTTACCGATTTCCCAACTGTAAAAAAAAACAGTTCAATTCAAGTCACCAAGACCAGATTTATTTATACTGTTAAAAAAATAGTGCGAAGTACATTTTATTTAACATTTACTCAATCTAATAAACTCGAATTTGCATCGACCATGAATAGAAGATTAAATAGATCATCATCTTTATGTAATTTCACTGATACAATATTTTATACATGAATTAACAAAGAATCTTTATTAATAGAAAAGAAGAAAGATAAAAAAAAATCTACAATATAATAGATGAGTGATCAAAATGCGATAGTATCATAAATATCTATATATAAAATAATATACAATATTTCAAAAATTATAACCATTATGAAGAAATATTATTATAAATAATCTATTCCTGTTTTCTAATTTAATCGTGATCAACATCTTAATCTCTCGACACTGAAGCAACAAGATTGGCCATCACATTGTCATTTAGTCCAGTTATATCGATCATATCAATAGTATACAAGGTGACAATAATATCGCCCTCTTGACTTCTTAACTGATTCATATACCCCTAATCTATTTTTTTTTTCTAAGATCCCAATAAGAATTACAAAATCAAAAAATTTTCTTCCCGAACTACGCATATCTTATGTAATTAACCTGAGCAATTTCTCTGGTTTGACCATTTTGAACTGTTTAAAAATTCTGCAATGTCCTATTATGGTTAATGAGGTTAGGATATTATTAATGTTAAGGCATTGGCTATTGCATGTCAGAGTTTCTATAAAGACTTGTCAGTCATAGTTTTTATGTATGCAAAGGCTGTCTTAAACACATCAGCTTCTTTTTGATCCAAACCGATCAAAAACTATAAATAATAAAAGACCATAATAAGTAATATTTTAACATCATACGTATATGGTTGGTGCCAACATGTATCTTATTCATAATTAAATGCAAATAGACAGGTTCATTGACAACTGAGAACATTCACTGCCGAAACAGTGTTTTCAATTCTCAGATAATCTTACATCAATGTGATAGTGTAATTTCGGATAACTTTGCTCTTCTACAGTACAACCTTTTTCTTTTTTGCAGCTTTCTTCGACTCTTCAGATTTTTCATCGCGGTGGATTAGGGATCTGCAAATGCCCATGCCAGGCAAATTAGGCATCAGGCCAGGCACTAGTATCTTGAACCGTGCCTGTGTTCCTAGGCACAAAATTGTCAGACACATTATGGGTACGGGCAGGCACTATAAGGGCATAGGCACAAATGTTGCAGGCACTAAGTGACGACTTATGCCTGGTACTTCACATCTAAAGTTCTTGGTCACATTGTTGTATCTATGCCCATGCCCGTGCCAACCCATGCCAAACTTTGTGCCTGTGTCTATGCCCATGCCTAAGATTTTGTGCCTGCGCCTTGCCTATGCTTTTTGTTAGGCATGCCGACCTGCAGATCCCTAATGTGAATATATATCTAATATTTGAAAATTTATACTATTACTTTAATTTTAGTAAGAAGTTAGAGCTAAAATATCACAGAACAAGAATCTAAAATTTAATAGTAGCACCTGGCATAATTAAATAAAAATTTGATAATCAAATACTTCTTGATTTAATTAGGCTTTACACTGAGTGGATCTTCTTTAGGTGGGTATATGGAATCATTATAAAATTACAATATATAAAAATTGAGCTAATTTAAATTCTAACCATCACCCTAACTCTAAATTTAATAATATAGATCAAAATAGATAATTTTTATACATTATAATTTTATAATAATTCTATATGCCCACCTATACTAAATATCAACAACTTTGTTTGATAATTTTAAATATAATTAAAATATAATATTTGTATAATGATATATAGAATTAAGAGTCCATTGCTTCGCTCCGAACAATTAACTAATAACATTTCAGCATTAGTTTTTATCTAATATTATAATATTGTGTTTTTTTAAAAAAAAATATCCCACTCTCTTTTACAAACAGAAAATCGGGTTGGTCCGGCCTAATATTATAAGTATTTTTACAGTTTTATTAAATTACATCAGTGGTGTTCGACACCACAATTGCTATATCTCAAAAGCCCTAGCTAAATAATTAATGCCCCCAAAAACCTTATATTAATCTAAATTTTAACCTCTAATATTAACCTCACCTTAACCTATAACAGCAACCTAACCTAAATATGAACACCAATGATGTGATTTAGTGTTATATATATATATATATATATATTCTATATAATACAGTATATATATATATATATATATAATTTTTTATACATTACGCAAATAAAAAATATATATATTATTTAAAAATTATATGCAGTTAAGCAGTATATGCAATTTAGGCAGTATACATTTAGACAGTATCAACTATATAAATATCCAATACAAATTCTTCTATTTTACATATTTACAACTTACTAGCATTTAACCAATTTATACAATATTCTTTACAACAACGGTCATATTCAACTCTTTATTTTACATATTTTTAATATTAACAAATCGTAACAAGCTAATACTCTAAACGGATTAAATGATATTCAATATAGTGCCATATCTACCATGACGCCAAATTTTGCCTTCACGCAAGTATGCATATGTGTGTTTATAAACAAAAAAAAAACTTATAAACTTATATTTTAACTACATTTTTGAACCTTACTGAAATTTATTTAATATGATCGTGAATTATATATAAACCTTATTTTTGGATAAAGCTATATGAACAACTATAATCCTAAAAAAAAAAAAAAAAAAAAACAAATATAAATATAAATACATAAAGAATATCTATAATTCCATCAGACCATACATAATTTATTCATTCAGTACTAATATAATAAAAATCTTTTAAATATACATATATAACATAATAAATTTACATCTCATTTCTGGCAAGGTGACAATAAGCAATCTCGGCGGCACTTTCCTTTGCATCCGCCTTTTTACTGCAAATCTTTCCCTCTAAAGTTAAATTGTTAATTGAAACTTTACAAATAAAACCACCGACGACATTTTTATAATCAAAGTCTGGACGATCCCAACGTTTTGCTTGAGCTTTTTCATATAATAAACTAGTAAATCTTTTAGCTTGAGTATCACTCCTTGTTGGAATATTTTGTGATGAAGAACTTTGGTGATGAGGAAATCGTGGAATTGGATACGGATGGTACCCACTATTAGATATTTGAGAAGATGAAGATGGTAGTCGATCAGTGCTGGTTGATGAAAATGTTTGAAAAGATCTATCATTACTGGTTGATGAAAATGTTGGAAAAGATCTATCATTACTGGGTGAAGACAATGTTTGAAAATATCTATCATTACTGGGTGAAGGCAATGTTTGAAAAGATCTATCAGTACTGGGTGAAGGCAATGTTTGAAAAGATCTATCATTACTGGGTGAAGGCAATGTTTGAAAAGATCTATCAGTACTGGGTGAAGGCAATGTTTGAAAAGATCTATCATTACTGGGTGAAGGCAATGTTTGAAAAGTTCTATCAGTACTGGTTGATGACAAAGTTGATGATAATGTTGAAATAAAAGATCGATCAGCATTGGTTGATGGTAACGTTTGGATCATAGATCGATCTGTACTAGCTGAAGACAATTTTGGAATCAAAGATCGATCTGCATTGGTTGATGACAAAGTTGGCATCGAGGATTGTTCTGAATTTGTCGGTAACAATGATGCAGTCAATGACTGTATTCTAGATGATTCGTGAGAGTCATTCTTATATTGTAACTCTTGATCATTCAATGAAGGTAATACTAGATTTGCAGTACTAATATCATTTGCGGTCGAAGATAAATTTAACCCTATACAATTATTTTGGATAATTTGATTGTTCGAATTATTTATTGTCAATGTGCGATTTGGGTTCACACTACTAGTTGTTGGTAAACTATTGGGAGAAGGTAAAATAGCAAGCATACTTTTACCAGGAAGATTATTAGAATTAATTCTATTATTTTTTTCCTGTTGTCGTTCTTGTTCACAAAATTCCTGATATAGTATTGAAAAAGATTTTGCCGCAATACAATCTTTAGCATCAGCCGTTTTTAAAAAACCTACACCTTCTGCACTAAAAACACGATCACCAATAGCACAATCAAAAAAATAACGACCCCTTTCATCAGTTCTTCCACGATATTCAGGAGTTGATAAACGTTTCATTTGACAATATTCTAAAAGGATAACTCGAGGTTTTTTTTCTGGATGATCACTTAATTGTTTACGATACCAAATCTCAGATTTTGGCATGAAATTTTCAGCTATAGAATTTTTATCAGGTGGTTCAAAATGGTTCAATACATCTTGACCCACAGAGTCAGCAATAGCAGGATGTGTACTTTCGTTTACAATATCTTTGAGAGCAATGAGAGCAACATCTTCTTTTGCCTGTTGTTTACGTACTCTTGGTTGATTAGTTCTATAAGTTTTACCAAAGATTTCAAGTTTACAATCAAAGCGACCAGAAGTAGGTTCTATCAAAAATTCATAAATTGGTAATTTTCCAGTTCTTAACCTTTGATGCAATTCATTTAATATTGATATTGGATTTGGAGTTGCTAATTGGATGGTATTATTATTAATTGATAAAGATTGTTCTGGTGCTTGTGAGCTTGGAGTGATTCTCTTCATTAAAGAATCGTAAACATCTCTTGCTTCCATTGGCTCTTTCGTAAAAGGAGCATGTTGAACTGACACATTTGAGAACGAATTTTTTGAATGTTGATCTTCAACTACAGCGAAAAGTGGCTCGGCTCCTAAATCTTGCAACAGGATACTAGCTTGATTATTATTAGTAGCAGTAGTAGTCATCGTGATAGTTGAAGCTGAAGAAGACTGATCCATTCTTGTATTTGGGTTTAATAATAAATTTGAATTTGTTTGAACCATAGGAAATTTATTATCTGCACTTGTTGAAGATGAAAGTTTTGTTTTTACTTTTGGCATAGTATTGTTTTGTATGTTGGATTTTTTATTTTCTTTTATGGTCATGAATAAAGGGAATAATCCGATGGTCGGGAAGGAAAAAAAAAAAAGTAACAAAAATCTGTCACACCAACTTTTCTGAATTAAGTATGGTCGATTATTTATGATGAACAGCCACATTCATCATAAAAGGTATGTATGACGGTGTACTTGTTATATTGTATAAAATAAATATTTATTTATTTAAATTGAAGGATGCGTGACCTCTACGTAATTATCGTGTACCTAGAATGAGAATCACACGGATAAAATTTGTGATGCCATCTATCATACCACAATAAATGTATACGTTTTTATGGCGATAGTTTAAGAAATAATGAGTAGTTATCATATTATATAACTTATTTTTCACTTTTAATACAGTATATACGTATATATTAAAATAACTTCTACTTTTCGTGTTAACTCGGCTAATTAAAAAGTGCTTTGCAAGTAACTTTACGATGTGTGATTAAAAAAAAAAACTCGTCACGAAACATTTGCGCAAAAAATTTTTTATATATTTACTGCATCGCGTTTTCATTTACAATATAAATATGGAAACTATTATATACAAAGAAAAAATACGATCAAGTTCAAGAAGAATAATAATATACTAATTGAAGACAAAATAGGAAATTGAGAAAATTCTGTGCATGCATGCATAGCATATATACAGCATGCATTATCAAAGTTAGTTTCACGAATTCTTAGATATAGACGAGATGGATTTGTTCTTAAAAAACTAAGAAACGAGTCATTGGCTAAACGTTATTTTCTTTAACTATAACAATTTTGAGATGAAATTACGAAATTCATATGGAATTAACCTAGCCCGCACTAAATTAACTAAATTATCACTTGGTAATCTTGGCCTCCCCGTGATTGGCCGTAGTTAAGCCAAGGGGTTTAGTTTCTAAGAAAATCCTTATTTGTCTTACCTGATTTAGATTATTAATAATGTTACGTATTAAGGTATTTTTTTTAAAAAAAATTATAAATATCGTATTAATTGGAAAAATACATTACTCCTTTTTTTTGTTTTTTTAATTTTTTTTTAATTTGATTGAAATGTCGTATTTGACTAAGGATCAACTTGGTAAGTATATAGAATAACTTTCAAAGATCGTAATTTCCTATATCTGACGATTCTTTTGTTTAGACCAATACTTAAAAGGTCTAAGTACAAAGTCGAAACCGACATTAGGCTCAGAATCAAAAAATTTAACTTCTATAAATGTACCGCCTAATAGCCCGTTGAGCCCAACTACGCCTTCTAGTTCACTTCCAGAAGAGCGAAAGATTAGTGTGGTACGCGGTCCGCGGTCACCACCGCCATCGAAAAGTATCAGTTTGATCAATTCACAAATTAATAGTAATAATGAAAATTCAGTAGAATCATCCCAAACTATTAAAACAACAAATATAATTCCTGAGTTAACCCAAGAACCATCCACACAAACATCTTCAATTACGCCATCTGTAGCATCATCTCATACTAATGAAATTGAAAAAAAGACGCAATATAAAAATCTCGATGATATCGTAAATGATCTTTCATATCCACTTGAAACTAAACTTTCCTTAAAACCTGATAATAATTCATCGGTTAATCCAGTAGAAGACGTTAATACAAAAAAAACAATTCCAACCACTAATATTTCTAATAATAAAGATACTCCTTCAAATGGGGGTTACGTTTTCTCCGCAGCGTTAAAATCAAATAGTAAATCGGATTCTTCCACGCTATCTAATGAGTCTCCAATTACCACTAATAAGCCTTCAGTTACAGCATCAGAAAACAATGTACCTATAACTCAAGAACGACGGAATAGTCGACCCCTGTTAACTTCTTCGTTAGATTGTGCCGGATGTGGAAAAACAATTGCTGGTAAGGTATTAACAGCGATGGGAAAGAAGTGGCACCCGGAACATTTCAGTTGTAAGCACTGTGGGATTACCTTAGAATATGTTGCATTCTTTGAAAAGGATGGTTACCCTTATTGTCATTTGGATTATCACGAGTTGTTTAGTCCAAAATGTGGACATTGTGGTAATACTATCGAAGGGGTAAGTGATTATTTATTATTTTAACAAAATTTTTACCATTATTGACTTTTTATTTCAAAAAAAAAAAGCCTTTCATCACGGCTCTTGGAAAATCCTGGCATCAAGGACACTTCTTTTGTCGTGAGTGTGGTAATCCATTCGAATCTGGTGGGTTTATGGTTAATGATGGATTCCCTTATTGTGAAAAAGATTGGATTAAAAAGTTTGGTAATTATAACTATTTTACTGATAACATTATAAATCATCGATTCTAAAAATATTTTCAAGTTTCTTATATATATATATTTGGTTTGTTTAATCGTGAATTTAACAAAACCTAGCACCGAAATGCAAAGGATGTCAAGAACCTATCAGAGGTGAATTTATGAGTGCTCTGGATGGAATGTGGCACCGTGAATGTTTCGTTTGCAAGGTTTGATTTCTTTTTTTTTTTTCTGTTGAATTTTTCTTTTTAAAAAATAGATGAAGATTATTAATAATTCATATAAATTAGGCATGTAAAACGCCTTTTAATAGTTCATATTATTATATCCATGAAGGAAACCCTTATTGTGATACACACTATCGAGAAAGGCTCTCTAATTAATAATATACATTTTTGAAATGGAACAATGATATATAATATTCTTTTTTAAAATAATTTGAAATTTATAGTAAATTAGTAAAATTTAAGATTAAATTTCCAATGGAACATTGGATTAGTGTAGGCTAAATTAGTCTTTAGGGCATGAACTGACACTTAGCCGTTCTTTTTTTCGAGTGAATATATTGTCAAATTTGGAGTTTTAGGAACAATTTATGTGTTATAATATTAGAGAACATTAATGTTTATTGTAGTTTAGTTTATCGATTTAGTATACATCATTAATTCTAACAAAAATAATTTGGACAATATCAATGTTTATTATTTCTTATTCTCGCATCTTATCATTATGCGAGTAACTTGAATCACATTCAGGCATTATTTAAATAATTATTTGCCTTGAATGACCGCATTATAAACACATTAAATTTCAGTAATAAGTCCACCTTTTCTATCATTACTTTCAATTTCACTTTCATCTTTGCTATATTGTCTATTCCCAAATACCTCTTCTATTTTTTCTCTATCTCTTTTATATTCCTGTCCTTCCTTAATGCATCTTACTCGCTCTGCTTCAATTTCATGTCTCAAAATTTCCAAAACAGCTGAGCTTTGCTGAGGTAATGAATTTACATATGCTATATAAAAATAAAGTTTCTTTTCTGTAAAGAAACCTTTTTTTTTATACTCATCCTTTGTTTTAGAAGGATTTTTAGATAAATAATTACTTGAGTCTATAGTTGTGGATGTTTGTTGCTGCGATTGAAAGAGACAATAAAGATCTGATAATGCAGCAAGTACTGCGTCCACAGATGTAAGTAAACAAACAATATCACCTAAGATTAAAGACTGAAATTCTGGAGGCTGCTTATATTTCGGATTCTGTATATTAGTATGAATTAGATTTTTGACAAGGACATTGATTGAATGAGAATTTTAAAATAAAAGCAGTTTCAAAACTATACTTGAAGGGTTATGATAGAGCTAGCCTTGATAGCCTCGTCTACACTCTGAAACACTATATTTTTTGTAGTGTTCAAAACAGGGGACAGTTCCCAAATTACATTGATCGAATCTTGAACGTTTTCGTGAATTGAACCGTTGAACATTCGGCATATATAAGCATATGCATACCTGTTTGAGATTAAAAGTTAAGAATTTATATATAAAGGAAAGTGTAATGTTTATTTATGCTTTCCAACTTGATTCATAAATATTTGGATACAAAATATTTATAAGGTTTAAAGTCAAAGCAGGATTTGGAGATTTCTTTGTTAGATCCTCAACCTTTTTTATATCTGATAGTATCTGTGGCCTTTGTGATAAAGTGTCTTTAGATTTTGTTTGAGAATATTCTGATAATTGTGTTTCATCCTCTATGATTTGAGGTGAAATTTCTACTATCTTGTCACCATTGCTACTGCTATGTTCCCACCATGGTTTCCATAATGGTAACTCATCGATAAGTTCTAGAAGGTTTTCAGGCCTTCCATCAATAAATTTTTCCTGAAATTCCGCGCGTTCTTGCGGTGTCAATTTGCTCCAGATTGTTTCAATATCAGCGGAATCTGTAAGAGGGAATAAAGAAGTGAATTAAAAAGGTAATTAGAGAATTGATAAGATTATAGGATAAAACTTACCAATATCCAAATCGTTAAACCGATCAGTAATATCATCATAATCTATAAAGATCGAGTAAAATATATAAAGGAAAAAATATATAACAAAAAATTCAAATAAATCAAAATTTTAATCCGAAAAAAAAAACCTTCATCCGCCATTTCCATTGCCTCCCTCGACATTTCATCACCCTCTTGTTCAAACCTTCGTAACAAATCAATCATTTTCTTTTTATCATCTTCATCAACGCGTTGACTTTTGATCTCTTCCATAATGTTATCTTTGTAAAATGATTCTGTGCATTCGGTGTGGGTCTAAAATCATAAAATTAGATTAAACACCACTCCGGATAATAATAATAATGATAATAATAGTAAAAATATAAAAATACATCGTGTTTATAACAATTTAGTGAGCAGTATTTGAGATTACATCGCGGACACGTATATTTGGAAATTTCGCGGTTGCATCTATGAAAAAAGCAAGATTTTTCAATATTAAATTATATAAATTATTCGGAAATAGAAAATTAATAGACTATAAAAATTACATGCCACAAAACTGGGGGGTTTCTACTTCGTCCATTAGTGATTGTTGACTATCGGAATCTCGAATTTTTATGCTCGACATTTCCTTTGAACCTCTAAACTGCGAACTTTTTTATTGTATAACAATATCGATGACGATGAAGGTGTAGATGCTTTTGCAGTAACGTGACTTGGAGCATAAGGAAATGACCAATCGCATGAGCACTAATAATAAATGTCGGTAACGTAATTTTACATATAAATGAGATATATTTCAAGCCTATAATAGTTGCCGTTATCGAATAACTGCGCTACTTAAGGTTCACCTAACCGTACAGTAATTAGTCTTTGAAAATTTCGTATTTTTAAAAAAACCCGTTAAATGCTCGTAGCTTTGCAAAATTATTACTTTTTGCAAATTTCCAAATGCTTTATGAGAAGTCACAATTTTGGATATCTTTAGATAATTTGCACCAAAGATTTGCTAATAAAACAAAAAATTTAAAATTTTGTTTGATACTTTAAAATGTTGATTAATGTTATATTAATGGCCTAAATTTTACCGTATAGCACTGCATACAGTATCCTCTTGGAATAAAATAAAATCTCAATAAGATTAACCAATAAATATAATATCTAAGAATTATTCGAAATATTTCTCTCTAGATTTTATCCTTTTCCTCACATGATATTTCCTGAGTACAAATCAAGTTAACATGAGACTAAATGCAATATACCATTGCTGCATTGATAATATGTAATTCATATTTATTAGTGACATTAATAAAGATAAATTTAAGTAGTTCTTTCGGTTATATTTTTTTTAGTTACGTATACTTGAATCAACATTTATTTATTACTATATAGATGTTAGACCTATTACACTGGTAATCATAAGTAGTGCAACACGTGATAATTTTTATAATAAAACATAGTAACTATTGAAATTTTCACTCTATAATAAAAATTTTTAGAAAA